ATCTATTTAGAGGTGATGATACTACTATCCCTACCTCTCAAATATAATGAGATGTTTAAATAGTTAATGTTTGCAAAGTGTTTTGAAGATTTAAGATGCCAAGTATTATTACAATTGCTTCTAGTCTGAGCTTTGTGTCTTTAATTCAGCAAGAGGCTCTGTTTCAGGGTTTCCAGTTATGAAGCCAATCAGTCAGATCTTCTTTATCTACAAATCACGTGCAGCTGATGGCCACCCTTCCTTTTCACAGGGAAGAAGGGCCTGCAGAGGCTGCTCAGGTCACATGGAGCATGGTATGCTTTCCCTCTATTCTTCAACAGCTACCCCTCCATACTGAAGATTGTAGCTGTAGTCTGTCCCATGGGCACATCCAGTCTATCACTAGCTCCTGAAAAGTTGCCATTTTGATCTTTGATTGGATAAAGTCAGGGACTTCCTTTTTTTAGAAAGCTCTCTTATTTATGTAACAATTATCAGTTCTCAGTCACTATCTCAAAACATACAGGGATTGCACCCAAGAAAAGTCAGAGGATTTTAAGTATTTGTATTTTGATTTGCAATAGCTTGCTGGCAGATTAAACCAGGTCTCTTGTAGCTCAGCATTTACAATCAACATGGTATGTAACAAATATACAGAGGAAAAGGAATTTGGAAAGAAGGGTCAGGTGAGGGCTGTGATTGGATTTCCAGCTTCCTGGGGTATCATAACATATGAAGGTGATTGTAATGCCACTGCATCATCAGGCATATTTCCAAAAAGAATGATTGATTACACAAGAACTTGTAGGTACACCCCTCAAATTGCATTTGTCATATGTAAGAAGTGGGAAAACAAACATGAAAACAGGACTGGGAAGTTCTGTCACATCAGGACAGGCAATACCTCACTTGCTGTGTAGGTGTAGAGGACTTTGCCTTTGATAACAAACCAGAGCTTCTTCCAGTGCCTTTTGCCTCTTTTACACCTGCTGAGATAGCCACTGATAGAAGATCCTTCTCCCGAAGCTGCCACCTGCATAGAGGATAATCAAGGAATCTATGACATCAGATGCTTTTCCCCCTCCAAAGCAGCAAGCATACCATAAACAAGGCCCATTTTTTACAAAAGGTACCCAAAGACACCTGTTGCCTTAAGAATATAACCAAGGTGTGAAAACACTGACATGGCATAAATCGGAGAAAAATGTAATCATGAAAATACTATTCTGCATAAAAGCACTACTAGAGAATTTATCTTAGGCCAAATCTGTTCTCACTGATACCAAAGAAGCCTAATCATTTAAGCCTCTAGATTTATACTTCTCCAATTGAGGAATTTAATTTATCCCCTTTTTCTTGTCTTTTTATATATTCAAAGAAGCATGATTAAAAAGGGGAAGGATGGTGTTGAGTAAAGCAGAAGGGTTCTGGGTTCTGTAAGCTTTACAATGGATTTGTGATGTGACCTTGAGTGAGCTATCTCTCTATAACACAGTTTCATCTGTGAATAAATACTCTCCTCAATATTTTTAAATAATTGCTTCCCTGGCAGGGTGAGGGGAGGAGAATTAAAGCTTAATTAATTAGTGTTTGTAAAGACCCTTGAGCTCCTTGGGTGAAAGGTGCTATATAATTGCAATACAGTATATATTAATTATAATATTAATAAACAATACTGATACCTGAATAAAGCAGAGAGTCAACTAGGGGAATGGACTTGAAAATCAGCCTTTGATGACAGACAGAATATAGGAATTAACTATATTTATAATATTCTACTGTAGCAGTTTGGAGCATGAGAAAGTCCACCAATCCTGTGAATGGCTTTCAGATCAAGGTTATTGTAGAAAGTTTCATTTTAATAAATGTGTGCTGCTGTCTTGTAAAAGGGCAATCTCTATTTTTCCAGAATAAATGGAGCTGAAATGTAACTTCTTGAACTTTGCTTAACCCTGGTAGTCATGTTGGTTTATGCAGTATCTTCCATGAATATTTTATCTACTCTGTTTGTACAGTTATCCCTGTTCCAGCTTAACACAAACAAAGTTAAGAGACCTATGTGCCCTCCCCCTTTTCATGGAGGATAACTACATGTACCGCAATTGGTCCAGATTCTGATCTCACTGAAATCAGTTACCTGAAATTGAATTGCCAGGATAGGGCCTTACATATTTAGGTAGGCAGACTGCATGGATAGTCGGAGGATATTAATGTAGTCAGTTTTTGAATGTGATGCTTAGTTCAAGAAGGGAAAGAAATGTTTTTGGATGAATCATGGTTCCACTATGGGAGTTTTGCCATTGCTTCAGTAGGGTCAGGATTTCATCCATTTATTTCAGGTAGGGCAGGGTGAGCTATAGACAACACAATTAAATAGCTGCATTCACCAATTGCTTTGAAAGGGCTAGTTTTACTGCCCCCGCCCACCAACTCTCACTAACTGGGTCTTCATTCAATTGAAATCCAAGGGGACACACTGGAAATAAGAATTGGAGTAAGGCCACAGAGTAACTGCTGGATGACAGTGATTTCTGATCATTGCCAAACTCCTATTGTCAAACTAGTGATCTCTCATGCTTCTCCGGAGCTACTTCTCTGAGTGTGTTATTCAACCTTTAAAAGCTTGCAGGATGGAAATACATTTTACAATTTAATTGAAATTATAGGGAAAACGAAGGTTAAATGTTAAGCTGACTTGGTCTTAATAGGAAAGAGAAACTATAGCAATAGCATCAGATTTTAGTGTGTTTTTGTATTTCATCCTGTTATACCGAGTAAAATGTAATCACATGATACAGAGGATCTAGACAGTGGGTTGATCCTGCAGCATATAGAACAAATGATAAACAATGAGACTGAAAGCTACTGTGTGCCAATGCACATTTTTCTAAATCTAGTTTCCTTGCCTTTTCTCAGGCAGCGTTGATCCTACCTCCATAAGAGCAGAAGGGATCTTCTTTTGTTTCTTGAAGGATGAATAGTGAATATTGTGGAAAACTGAGGAGAAGGCACTGCCTGAAAACCTGGATGAAGTTGGAAGGAAGCTCACACTTACTGGCCGTTCTACAATAGTAGGAGAAATGGCAGGCAAAAAAGACTGGATTAACTGGTGCAAACACTTAGGTTAACATTACAACAAGAAATACTAAATTCCCAGCTAATGCAAATAATAAGAAAATGCAATTCCTCACTATAGTTGCTTAATCTTCCTTTCGCTATTTTTGATCAAACTCCGCTTTTAAGTCTAGATAGCAGAATTGCTATTCAGTGAGCTTTATGGCATTCCACAGTGGAAACATCCCCTACAAGTACATCTGGGATACAGCTTGTATAGAAGATGAGAAGGAAAATAATTATGCTATGTTGCGTTCTGACATTTAATGACCTTTGAAAGCACTGACTGTGTGTGTCTGCTGTTTGTGCACTCTACCTGTTCTGATTTGTTCCTGGGCCACCTCCATGGCAAAGAAAATAGGTTCATTTTGGGGTTGTTCTTTCAAGCCTGAACTTTTCTCCATTGTGTTCTGAGTACAGAAGACAATTTATTCCCTCGTCAGGACATGCCCTGTCACCCTATTAACGAGGACAGTATTGTACCAGTCAGTGCCATCATCTGGGTTATAGCCTTTCTGAATCTCACGTGTCACTATACATCATCTGGAAAATCTGAAGGGAGCACAGCTTTGAATCAATACAGCCTGAGTTGTCACTTGGCTCAGACCACTAAGACAGTTGCATGTCTTCCTTCTCTAAACAATAACAGTACGGCTACATCTACGGCTACGAAAAGAGCCTCCAGACTGGCGCGATCCTCCGGAATAAAGTAGGAATAAGAGATCCTCCGGAAAAGGGCTTTATTCCGGAGGATCACGCCAGTCTGGACGCTCTTTTCTGGCTTTTCCCCAAGCCGGAAAAAAAGCGGCGGCCATGTTTATTTAAATCCCGCGGGGGATATTTAAATCCCCTGCGGATTTCCCTATTCCAAAGTTAGAAATTAGCATGCCTCTTCCGAAGAAAGGGCCAGTCTAGACGTAGCCTAGATGTCTGTCATGTTGTTAAAACGGATGTATGGATCTCTTTAACCAAGATAAACTAAATTGCACATGTGCCTAAGCTCATAACAAAATAGTTCTTGCCTATAAGTTGTCCATCACAATGACCATAGCCCTTCACTATGGGAAATGGTCCTTCCTTGTAGTGAGATAGATAGTGTTTGATAGTGTCTTTAATTTTAAGACACTGCTTTGCTTTAATACAAAGAAGAGCTGTTAGCTGTAAGCAGCATGGTAGCATTGAGTGCAATTGTTTATTATTTTAGTACACCAAGAAATCATAGGAAGAATTGGAGGTTCCAGCTCACTAAGGGTGCATTTGCACTGCAGCATTATTTTGAGATAACTAGCATTTTGAAATAACAATGCGAGTGTCTATACAGCCATTCCGTTATTTCAAAATAATTTCAAAATAACAGACAGCTTATTCTGAAATCTGTAAACCTCATTCTATGAGGAATAACATCTATTCTGAAAGTCCTATGTAGACGCTCCACTGCTGCTATTCTAAGTTATTCCTCAGTGCCTCCTGGGACTCTAAATCAAGATAGCACATCTACATTAAGGAAGCCTGCCTCGGACTAATTTTGAGGCTTTCCTGCAGTGTAGATGTGCTATTTTGAAATAAGCTATTTTGGAATAACTATTCTGGAATAGCTTATTTCGAAATAAGCGTGCAGTGTAGAATTACCCTAAAAGCTTCTCAGCCGCCATGCAGTCTACTATTTCCCCCAGACTATGCATTTGTATCACTGTTAATATAGCTCATAACTATGTCTGAAGGAGAAATTCCCTGAATGGGAATCTTCTCTCTTCATATGCAGGTAACATTTTCATTCAACTCATCAAGGAATAGTGAGGACTCACCCCTTTTTCTCAGTTCTGAGTAGCAGCTGTCACAGACTTTTGCTAGTCGGTCTTTGAGGTATGTCAGGGGATGCTTGTTTCTTGAACAATTTCGACATATAATCTACCCCAGAAAAAAAAATATATCTCATTCCCCCATCCCAATGTACATTACCAAACACATCCTCTGGACTGGTTAGCATGGGAGAAAGCTAAATGGGCCAAATTTGGCTCTTTGTTAAACCAGTATAAATAAGGATAATTTCCCTGATTTCATTGTAATTACTCTAGATTTCCAACAGTGTATTTAATTGTCACTTCATTGTTCTTTTTTAGGTCTAACCAAAAAATTCTCCTTTATCATGATGTCTACAAAAAACCTGACTGCTGGTATGGGTAGGCCACTGTCTATCATGCTGACGAACAAATACTCCCCTGCTGGTTTGTCTGTATCCATCTGTTATGTCTTGTCTTATACTTTGATTGTAAATTCTTT